ATTCCAGTTTTCGAAATTGCCCTTCAAAAGGATCCTTTTCTGTTAAAAGTCCGATATTTCGATGAAAAATGGTCGTATCGAAATTTAAAAATAAGGAAATTGAAGCTGAATAAATAAGTTATCTGGTCCATGCAATGGCTTAGCTGAAAAAAAGTTTTTCAAGTCCGTGGACTCAGAAAAACAATTTGAAAAATTTTTTTGTCGCGCTATTAGAATTTTATAATAACCGTAGCTCTTCAAAAATTTCGTCCGAAAGATTTAAAGATTAGAATCCTATAGCTTCAAAATGCTTTTTTAATTGCCGATACGACCATTAAAAAATCACGGAAAAATTTCGAAAATTCTTTTGACCTTTTAATTTTTTGCATTAGTTTATAGCATTTTATTTTTAACACTAGTGTTAAAAGTGTTTTTGACACATCACATTATAAAAGTCAATTTTTAGTTCACACATCAATGAATTAAAAATGTCATGTTTAATGACAGTTTTACAAAAAATATTTTGGTACATATAAAAATTAAAAATTAATGGTACGCATATTCGTACTACAGTAATAGACTATAGTGAGATACTGTTTGTTTACATACAGTTCAAGAAATCTAAGCTAACCCGAACCATTTACTGATATTGGAACTGCTTTTCATATAATGGCAGATTTAGCATATACCCTCTATTTGTATTTCAACCAATTTACGTGTTCTATCCTCCAAAGTAGAATTATATTGTCTCCGGCAAAATTCCTTGTGCTCAAGGTAGACTTGTTTACAGGGCAATTTCCAAATTTTGTTTCTGGAAAGTAATTTAAGTTCTCTTTATTCGAAGATTTGTTTGCAGAGGGCAATGCGTCTTTTAAATTTTAGTTTTCAACAAGTCCTTCCGATATACCTAATTTACCTGTTTATTTTCTACACATTCGAAAAGCCAGAAACGATTTGGTGTATTTAGCATGAAGAGTTTTGTTTTGAGTACGTTCATACGAATTTCTTAGTAAAAATATATCTAATGAAATGTTGCGATTAAAATACGTTTTTATAATATCTGTGGTGTGGTTGCCCTTGGTTAAAATATAATTAAACATAAAATTAGAAATTATAATTGTCAAATCAATCATTAATTCTGGCATAAATTTTAATAATGCAAACGGTTGCGGTTTAAAATTATGCTGATACCCAGTTTTAATAGAAATGTCATTTTATTTAACATTTGTCATTGTTGTAAAGGTTAGAAACAAACATGAAATAATAATATATTCCTTGAATTCAGTAAACTGTTATCAATAGAAGTCGTACTTGTAACACTTGTAGTTACAATAAATTGTCAATGTTATACTTAAGTTCGACGTATTTTACGTCATTGTAATGTGTTAATATAAACTGGGGAATTAAAACATTAAGATTTAAGACTTAATTCAAATTTATTTTAAACTAGAAATACAGGGTAAATTTAAGAATACTAATCTGAATTTTTTTATCAAATAAATACTCGAGTTATAATTATTACATTTATACTGTCGTAGGAGTTAAAGAAAATTCAAAATATAAAAAGGTAAATAAATATGTATCTGTCTAAAAAACAAATGTAAAAAAAATTCGAAGGCAACTTTTCATTATTTTAAATAATCAATCGGATAGTATAGAAAAAGTTAGTTTTGTTAGTTACATCATTAAAATTAACAATTAAAAGTTTTAAATTGTTATCTCTTATTAAAAATTAAAAATTATATCTATTTCTCTGAAAAGAAAAGTTACATTTTTTAGAGTAGATTGAAAAAAAAAATACAAAATTCATTCATTTTTCGTCTTTGTTATGATTTTTTTTAAATTTCTGAAATCTTCCCTTATCTTCCAGCCGCCTACCTAACTGTGTTAATTTTAATAGTACAAGAAAAAGTCAAGAGGCCATTTTTATGTAGAATTGTATGCTTTACATCTTTTATAAGAAACTTCAACTGATTTCATTGCGGGCTATACAGTGTTCATTAATGCCGTACAGAAAAACCAGAGGCCTATTCTGTGGCTAAAATTAAGTAAATTTCGTTACATACACGTAGGCTCTTAATGCCGCCGTTACTGAGCTGCAGGGTTTTCAAAATTAAAAAAAAATAAATTTTTTAATTTTCTTAAATCGTTTCAATCTAACTATTCGTAAGTAGGTAGTAGACGTTTCGCAAGATTTATTAACTAGGATGAATCGATTTTTCTGTTGTAATGTAAATGCAACTCTTTTAATAGAAATAAGATAATAAAAAAATTCATACGGAGTCTGCTATGAGAGTTTACCGATTTTAAAAATGCCAAACTACGAAGAAAGTATTTTTGTACAAAACTCGTAAAATGTCAGATGTGACGGTAAAATATTGTCACACGAGTTTAATGGGAACGCCCCGTATAGACAAGTGGTTAAGCCGTCATATTTCAAACAAAATACGATTCAGATTGGAAACATTTATCTTGCGTCGAGTGTATCATGGAATTTGGTCACTGTGTACAACTTGGTGAACCTGCGCCTTAAAAAAACAGAAATAAATGAATGGGATAAATGAATGAAAGAAGATTCTCTGAAAAAATACAAAAGCCATTAAAAATGGCCTATTGTGTACCGAAACATAGGCGTACCTATTAAAGCGTATAAGAAATATTTACGTAAAGCAGTCTAAAAAATATTGTTTGCCTTTCAAGCAATTTGAAAGAGAGACCTTAAAAGTTACCCTCCTTTACCTTATATTTACTATTCCAGAATTAAATTGGTGTAGGATGAACCTTCTTTTTTAATATGATCAGAAGTTCATGGAAAACTTGGAACTTTTTTCTCTTTACATCGAATTAAGCTTTCATAATTCAGTCAAAGTTTAGTAGTACTCTGCATTTGTAAGATATCATTGATGAATTCAGGGCTGTTACATTATTAGATGCCTTATTGAGTAATATTTACATCAGTAAGTCCTAAAATTTATACAGAGTGTTCCTAAATATCATGTACATAAGGAAGGGGGTAATTCTTTGGCTTATTTAATGACTAAAAGTTAATATCAACATAGGTCCGCAAACTCTTCGTTACCGATATACAGGGTGTTGAAATTTTAAGATTGTTTAAGTTTTTTCTCTATAGCTCCCACAGTTTTTGAGATATTTAGCTCAAATTTGGAATATAGGCTACGCTATAGGGCTTACGTCATTGGACATGCCAAATGGTCGTGATATTCTATAGAGTGATATTTTTTCGGGGGTCATGTCCCCTTTTCTTCCCTTGAACATTTGTGCGGTGCGCCGCTGGTAGATTCTAAACACAAAATTTAATTTTATGTTTTGTTGAGAAACTCTTTTGCCTCTTATGATTTTTTCGTATCTGCGGCCGTTATCGAGAATAAAATAAAAAACGATTTTATGTAATTCGTTAGATGAAATTTAAATTCTTAAAATGCTCCAGTAGGCTATGGCTTTATTTAGATAATTTCTTGTTTCTATTAATTTTGACAGTTCGCATTTGAAATAGTAACTTGGGTCTGCACATGTTTAAAAATTAAAGGTTTACGTTACGAACTGTAAGGTGTAAAAGTGTTTTAAATACTCATTATAATCTCATGACAATGCCAAATTTTACGAATTTTGAAATGGGTCATCCCAGCTTTAATTTTTAACAGGTAATTACATAAAATCCTTTTTTATTTTTTTCTCGATAACGGTCGCAGATACAAAAAAAACATAAGATGCAAAAAAGTTTCTCAACAAAATATAAAATCCAATTTTGATTTTAGAATCTACCAGCGGCGCACCGCACAAAAGTTCAGGGGAAGAAAATGGGGCATGAACCCCGAAAAAATATCACTCTATAGAATATCACGACCATTTGGCATGTCCAATGATGTAAGCCCTACAGCGTAACATATATTCCAAGTTTGAGCTAAATATTTCAAAAACTGTGGGAGCTATAGAGAAAAAACTAAAAAAATATTAAAATTTCAACACACTGTAGGTCGGCAACGAAGCGTTTGCGGACCTATGTTTATATGAACTTTTAGTCATGAAATAAACCAAAGAATTACCCTTCCTTTTATGTACATGATATTTAGGAACACCTTGTATATAATATTACTCAAAAAGTATAACATAAAATAACTAATATTCGATAGGTCGTCTAGATTTTTGTGGGAGGTAAAAAAAGTGAAAAAACACGTAAAATCGCCACTTTTGCCAACCTAGCGTCACTTCTTTCGAGTTACTTTTTTGATATTATCATTCTACATACTCGTCCCCTGCATAAAGTGCAACAAAATATCTACTAATAATTTTTTGAAGTTGTATGATCCAATTCGACTGAAATAAAAGTAAGTTCTACCTAATAGTCATATAAAATTAAAACATTTACAAGTAAATGGCGTCGAATTAGTGCTAGAAAAAGAACGACATACTTATATTATGTGTTACTGTGACTTAGCAACTTCTTAGTTGCCAACAACCCGTTACCCCTCTATTTAATTACTAAAAAACACTCCCCTCTTGTCCGAATCCTTGTAAGAAGATGTGCAATACACTAACGAAATTATATTATAAATACTAATTATGTACATCATTGAATAAACGAATACATGATTAGGGAAATGTTAAGAAATTACTTAGATCTGTTTCCAATTCATTATTTATATGATTTTTTTTACATATTTTAAATATCGAATTAACCAAGACTGAAATAATATTGCCACATTACGGTATAAAGATGAAACTCAATAAAAATTTTCCGTTACATATTTAAATATTAAAACAATTTACATGATGGTAAAACATACATCATCAATTACTTCATCTAATGATTTGAATTTCACATAGTTTATTGAATATTCGTTCAGTGGAAACATAATTAATATTTTCCAAGATAATAAAATGAATCAATACTTTTTTATTCCGTAATACCATGTGTTAATTTTTGAAAAAAATCTCCTTATAAAAATGTCCTTGGTAATACGGGCGAATGAAATGCCATCGTTGTATTATACTAAAACAGGTGTACCATACGACTAAAGTAACGTATACTGCACTTTTATATCACGCTTGTCCCATGTGGTGTAAAAATGTTAACACAGTACATTTTGTTCATTCTAGTTATTCAGTGGAGTTTTGTAAGTTCGCATAAGAAAAACGTCTGTAGGACTTTCGGGGACTATGCCACCATCCAGACGAATAAAAATTGTTGGTACAATCCTGACATTGATTCTTCGCCGGTAAGTTTTTGTATTTTGTAATTTGAATGAAACAGTACAAATATGAATTAAAAGGAATATAAATCATTTATTTTTTAGTGTGTTTCTAGTATATTAAATTTGGAAATTAATTTTATTCATTAACTAATTTAACAATACGCATTTGAAATGCATATACAGTGTGTTATACGATTGTGCACACTGGAGAAGAAATACAATACAAAATAAAAATCCCAAAAATATTACTGCTTTTTAGTTTTATATTCAAGGAATTTTCATAAAGAAGCTCTCCTCTTCAGGACAGAATCGTGCAACACACTGTATGGTGTGAATAATCCTACAATATTTGTCTGCAATATTTGTCAATTTGCGTAAATAACTGTTATTTTAATGAGCGTAATAATTATGCAAAAACTGTCTATGACAAAAAAATAGGAGTTACAAAAATACAAGGAATAAAAGTACCTAGACTGAAGGAAATATCTTTTAGCCATAAGTAAAAAAGTTGATTAACCCTAACAAAATATCTGCTTTAAATTGCAATTTTTTAAATCCCGTTTTTAAATTTTTTCTCGAAAATGGAACCTGTAAATTATTATTGATACAGCTTCCAATACACTTAACTAATGGAATTTAAAAGGCCATCTAATCCAATTACCACTGTTTCTAAATGAAACTTTAGCCATTAAAGTTTAATTTGAAATTAACAGCTGCGGTCACGAAAGTTTACGATGTCCCCTTCATCTATGTAAAGGAATCAAACTGTAATAAACAAAATAGAGATCAACGAGAACTTCGATGTGCAGATATAGGTTAAAAACGTGGAGGATATTTTGGTATTCGCGTATTCGCTGATGCTGACTCTCTTCGCGAATGTATTATTTAGATGACAATTTCTCCTCTAGATATTCTTCCTTACGTGATTTTTTTGTATCTTTGACGCTTATTATAAATTAAAAAAAACGAAAGACTCTATAGTAGGATCATATTCGATGCAAAGTAATAAATCATTGCCTGTCAAGGGAATCAGTGCAATACGTTTTAAAGGGTTTTGGAAATTGAATAATTTCTTTATGCATTATGGATTAATAGTTAAATATTTATGAAAATGAAAAAGAAAGGCAGCTCCTTCGCACATTGGGCGGCAGGGCAACAATACATTTATTACTCCCTTCCTCCTCCCTCATATGACTTGTGTCTTGTGTTTGTTGCGGCGGCGCGCGTGCCGGCACGGCGTGGTCAGTTTCGTTTCAGTTGTATTGGTGCTGCGTGTTTCTCGCTCGCGATATTTGTGAGGTTATAACTATAGGCGGAAATACACATGCCTCTTGCTTGCACAAAAGCATGCAAGTAGCTTGCAAGAGATAGCTCCTGGTATGTGTATTTATTAAAAGGCATGCCTGTAGAAGGCGCGCAAGTAAATTGCACATCATTTGATTTTTTGGCATGCAATGTGAGGCGGGGGGTTTCGGGGGTTCAAGTGGCATGTCGGAACGTGTCTACTTGATACCTACTGATTTGCTAATAAGCCATAATACATTCCACTTTACTTGCAAATGTATCAGCAGTGTGCATCCGCCGGCATATGCCATTTCTTAGCATGCAAGTTACTCACCTATTTTACTGGTATGTGTATTTCCGCCTTATATATAAGTGCAATTATATTTCGTTCGGGCTGTATGTGTGTTTCGCGCTATTATTTGAGAATTTGTGAGTAAAATCATATTTCTTGTGCTCCGTAACAAAAGTGTTTTTAGTGTTTTATTTGTGTGCTGTGTGTGTGTTTCGGGCTGTTGTTTGTGAATCGTGAATGCTATTATATTTCCTGTGCTAGTGAAGTGAAGTTTTTTGTATTATTATTGCTCTGTTGTCGTTATATGGAGAAATGGAGGCGGATGTACTGCTGTGGGTACAAAAAAATCTGTATTAAGTTACAGAGAAAAAACGATATTATTATATGTCTATAACGCTTTAGAAAAGGATCATCCCATGAAACTGAATACTGGATTGGTGGAAATGTGTTCTAGATATACTGGAGTAAGCGAATCATCTGTTTTCAAAATTTTAAGAGAGAAGAAAAATGAAGGAGACGTTAAGAAACCTAAAAAAGGGNGTTTCGGGCTGTTGTTTGTGAATCGTGAATGCTATTATATTTTCTGTGCTAGTGAAGTGAAGTTTTTTGTATTATTATTGCTCTGTTGTCGTTATATGGAGAAAGGGAGGCGGTGCCTGGATGTTCGCGAGCCGGATGTACTGCTGTGGGTACAAAAAAATCTGTATTAAGTTACAGAGAAAAAACGATATTATTATATGTCTATAACGCTTTAGAAAAGGATCATCCCAAGAAATTGAAGACTGGTTTGGTAGAAATGTGTTCTAGATATACTGGAGTAAGCGAATCATCTGTTTTCAAAATTTTAAGAGAGAAGAAAAATGAAGGAGACGTTAAGAAACCTAAAAAAAGGTGGTGGAAAAAAGAAATTAATATTAAATGAAGATGAGAAAAATGCAGTTCGGCGTACAGTACATAAATCATAGAATTTATATTTTGTTTAATTTGTTAATATTTCTTGAGATTGATAGAGAATTGTTGTTAGTGTTTCCTTTTGATAGAATCATATCATAGGATTTATATTTTGTTTTCATTCTGTAAATATTTATAGTATATCCGTTATACAAGGTTTTTGCTTTGAAACTTCGTTCTCCTTATAGAAAAAAGAATCGTAATGGGGTGCGATGAAGGGATCAGTTCACGTTTGGAACCCTGTTCCTACAAAAATCCCTTTATTCTCATAAACTGTTTGTTTTAAATGTAATTTATTATACATCCAATTCGTTATTTAAATTCCACATATGTACTACATTTCACCTCTGTACGCGCCACTGTTTATTGTTCCCTGCTTTACGATCAAGCTCGCCAGGTTAGTATTTGACGTATAACCGACCACTTCGTGCACTCGATGCACCTGGCCGACTACAGCTAATACCAGAACACAGTGCGTATGCAGCGGTATTTCAGATTTTACATTCAATTTCATTTTAAATTTGAAACGGTTCATCTTACGCCTCCTAAAAATGATGACACAATTTTCCTTTGATAAAAGGCCGACAATTTTTTGCTCTACTTTGCATCGAATACGATTCTACTATAGTCACTGTTGTTGTCTTCTGACAACATATGAATATAAAATTAGTTACATCCAAATAAATTTTGTTTTAAATTTTGTTAGTATTAAAACACATTTTTGTCAATTCAGTATTCTTTATATAAAAAGTGAAATATTTAGAGATGGTTTACTTATCGATAAAAATTGTGCATTTATACATATACCATTATTTGATGCGAAAAAAACAGTTAAAAAAATTGGTATTGAATCCTTGAAAAAAATAACAATGAGTTTGCGTGGAGACATATTTAATATAAAAGCAAATGATTCTTAAATTATACATTTGTACAGGGTTAATCAGTATAATCTGACAACTTATTGTGAGTTTATTATTAAAATTACAAACAAGTTTTTAATATAAAAGTTTTAGCTTTTTTATGAATTTTTATAATACGCTACTAGAAAAAACAACTGAATAATGGAAATCACTAAACTGATTTTTTTTTTTAAATGGCACACCCTACATATTAGTGCATCTTCGTTAAATTTATCTCTTTTCAAAAATATATAATATGTTACTGTTTGATTCAGGACTTTTCGACATATTTCAGTTTGAAAACTATTTTTGAAAAAACAGGACAGGAATTTATGTCAGGCGCATCGCAGTGGCTATGGACGAGGCACGCGGCACAACAAGTTGTCAGATTGTAATGACTAACCCTGTACATGTATAATTTTAAGTAGGGATCATGAGTAATAGTACATCTTCTCCAGAATACTAATCTGAGGCATTTTTTTTCTAAATGAATAAACAGTCTTCGTCTTTTAAACTGCATTTAATCTCTTGTCTACGCCGTCACAGAACAACCCCCGAACTCAGTTGTCTGTGCTCACTTATCAGTGTTGCCGTCGTTACTTTTTAAGACAAACATGAGAGAGCATGTGAGAGAAAGAGAGCAATGGCAAATAATCTTGTATAAACAAATGTGTTTCTAAAGGTCAAAGGTGGGCTCTGTATAAGCATGAGCCATGTATTAACCAGACGATAATTTGATAAGAAAAACTGTTACGTTTGGCGAGGAGTTTATTTTGATTTGTCTAATAATAAAAAGTTCAATCCGGTTGCCTGTTATTTTAAAATAAAAAATAAAAATTCCAAAAATATTACGCTGAAAGAAATGCTGTATTAATTTTATTTTAGACATTCTATAGAGTTAAACGGTTTGGGATATAAAGTTCCCTGAATTCAAACCCATGTTCATGAAAGTACCAAATTACACTTAATTCAAAAAATGCTCTTAAATTATTTTATAAATACGAAAACAACACAACTTTTCCGAGCTGAAAATAATAACGAACATTTTCTAGCAAAACAATTGCAACAACTTTTTTTTCTACCTGAATTATCTTCTTCGGCGAAGTGTTGACGGTAATAAAACTGTTTCAGACTGTACTAGCCAAAAGATATGGCTACCCCATGAAGAAATACAGGGTAACCACAGACGATGGGTACATCTTAACCTTGTTCAGAATTCCTCATAATGGCAGTGACATAAATTCAACCAGACAACCAGTTCTCATCCAGCATGGTATAGGCGCGAGTGCAGTCTTTTGGATGATGCAAGGACGAAGGTCGCTCGGTAATTATAGCCTGCAATTAAAGGATTGACATAACAGACGAAATATGATGTATTTAAATGTCAATCAATAGTGTGGGAAAAGTTTTAAACTTTTTTTTTGAGTTCTCAGATGACGTCACCAATCCAAGGTTTTCTATGTGGATCATCCTGTTCAATGACAAGAACTTCCCTTCAATTACAGTTTTGAGTAAAACTCTCAAACACATCTATGGTCTTTGCCAGCGTTTAGTAGTACTATGCATGAGATCTAAAGTAAATTGTATCAAGTTCGGTAATTAGCTACTTGTCCTTAAGATTGAAAATATTTCTTAAAATTATTAATTTCGGGGTAATATGTACAAGCTAACCATGACCTGCCCATGCTAATAAATATTGTGACTGCTGGATAAAATGAACCAAGGTTAATCTACAAAGTCTGCTTTCTCTGCGTTCAGAGAGAAATGTACTGGGAACTCAATTTTAATGTATGGGGAGAGTGGTACGAGACAGAATTTTAAACTGAATGTTTTTCCTAAAATACGCAAATAGAATATACGTTTTCAGATTTAGTTTTTCTCCAAATCCTCAGTTATTATACCTACTGAGAAGATTCATTAGTTAGAGCAACTATTTATGTAAATGTTTTGAATATTAAACTAAACAGGTTGTATTTAAATGAAGCAAAAAGAAAACAACTGTTCTATGGACTTTGACCAGCAATATCTAGTAATTTGATAATAATAAACAATTATCCAAAGTAAAACCTAAAAATGATGTGTGTAAGTAAAATTAATACAAAAACACATACCCTTTGTACGTGGTAGGGTTGTAATAATTGTTCCCGTAGTATAGCCACATGGTACTGTTAGTTTTATACGCCAGCTAAGTAATACTGCAACAAACAACGCACGTGCACAAGATGCACAGGGTCAACTTACATTTATGGTTGATTTTCATAATTAAATTTCTGGAAAACAGGAACATTTGGACCATCACTTGCTTAATAAAAGTTGCTAATTTTCGTGCCTTTGTATCACCATACTTACAATTAGTCGAGTCTTAAGGAAGTTATAACCTTTCACATAATTCAGCTGGTGGAACCAATGGGCGTATGTTTCAATCGACATCTTATTATTCCAACCAATTTATTTTACTGATATTAATCTTCATGTCAACTAAAAGGCACTACGAACTACAACTTTATTCAAGGGCATAAAATAAGTGAACACTTTTTCAGCGTTTGTACTGGCTGATAATGGTTATGATGTATGGCTGTCAACATCTAGGGGAGCGGGATATTCGAGAAAGCACACGCACTTAACGACAGAGGATCCCTCGTATTGGAACTTTGGGTAAGTAAACAATTTTGTTCATTAAAAGATTGATCGGTTTTTAACAAAAACGTCGTACTTGTTTTGTAATAGATGAACGTCGATTCTTGACAATTTCAGTTACTAAATGTAATTACTAATATACATATTAGCTCTATACCTCAGGGAAACGAAGCGTCACAAAATATTTGGACACCCAATATATTATAAATATCGTAAACATGACAAATTTATTTGACATTTGACCCGAGTATTCAAATTGTAACCTTTTCCAAAGTTTCATTGACTTTAAAGTCTAACCAGTTAATAAGGAGCGTTACCTTTTACTGTTCAACATTAACATGAATTGGTGGGAGTGCCCCTAGATCGTATTCTATAATATTCTCACAGATTACATCGATAGAATTTGAGGGAAGATAATTATTTCAAGCAATTGAGCATAAACGGCGTCTGCTTATAAAATGGAAACCTCCTAAGCTCACTGCGGCTTAAATAAACATCAATCGAATACGAATACATTTTCCAAAATCGCAAGTTAATTAATCTCTCAGGTCTCTGTTTCGCACCCGTAAATTGTTATTAAACTAGAATTTGAACTATAATCATAACAACACTATTTTGATATACATACATACATCGTGTACTTATTGCGTCCGTTAGATTTACTTTATGAATCTCTGAAAATACGGGGTGATTTATCAAAAACTTATTTTAAATATAAATAAATGAATTGCAATCCGAAAATTGTTGTAAAACAGTGATAATTTAATTCTGTTTCCTGAGTGTCAAAAAGACAGATTAGGTTAGGTATTGTCTGTTTAAACTCAAGGAAAAAAGTTGCAAAGGAGCGCTATAGATTTATCGCTAATTTAGATATCTACATGAGAGAGAAATTCTGATAATAATAAAGAGAATATGTACAGGGCGATTCACTATATTTTGACCCCCCCTTTTTTGTTTTAAGAGTTATAAAAAAATGTGAAATACAAAAGTTGCATGAATTTTTATGAATTTTTCGAAAATTATAGTAGAAAAACAAATGAAGTCCAAATAAAATGGCCACGGATGTTAACTTTGTTAAGTTAAATGGAACACCCTGTATTTTGTACGGTTTGTTGGGTTCATCTCTAACACTAAGCGAGATATTATTAAAAATTGAAAAGAAGGTTTTTTATTAAGAAAATAAAATATCTTGTAATAATTGTTAAATCTCTTTTAGGCATTTCTGGATTCTCCAGATATTAGTAAAAACAATATTAATGGGACACTCTGTATAAGTATATTTTAATACATATATTAAAGACAACTGAACAGATTACAGTTTTCTCATATAATCAGTATATTACATGAAAAGTAATGTGCAAAATTTTGAATTTTCCCTCAATTCATTACATGATTATTTTAATTCAATGACAGTGTCTTTATTTCACTATAGGTAAGGTCGTTACAAGTGCCCCTTTTTTAAATATATGTTGATTCTCATTTTTATCCGCTAAAATTGAAATAAGTATAAACATTTTTTATATTCAGCGACATATGTAGACGTTCAGCTCAAAGAGACCGATTTACTGATATTCAAATACGGGTATAGCGGATGGGACGAAAAGTTCGATAGAAAATATCGCATTCAAAAGTTTGAGAAGAATATCTATCATTCATCTTCCTCGCTGACTTTCGTCGCCTATAAATAAGAAGGATTTACAAAAGAGATTATAGAGTGTGATATGCTCTTTTAACAACGTTATCTATTGTGGAAGTGTCATATTACTTACTTCTATATACTTACTTCCAGAGAATCGGAAAAATGAGGAGACTGATATCGCTGGAAATTTTATAAAAATATGATTTGAGTACTTCTTTGAATTTGTTTGTTAAGTTTTAATAAAATAAACAGTTTTGTTAGATAATAAATAAAATTCAGTAAAGTTGATATCGCCCAATATGACAATATATTACATTATTACATATTTTTCAAATTCGTATTTGATTAAACTTATGTCCTTGTTTTAAATTACTAAAATCTTAACCCTTACAAGGGAGTCTACACAAGGGCGTCGCCAAGGGGGGGGGGCAGTGGGGTACAAAAATTTTCTTAAGCTAAAAAATATTAAATTGGAAATTTTTAATAAAATATTTTATTTACTTAAACTTTAATTTTGAAAATTAATACACTACTTAATTTTTTAAAAAAACAATTGTAATAAATTAGTATAAATGTTTGTTGACAAAACAATTTAAAAATATAAAATTGTATGTTAAAAAGTTATACATTTCTATATTTGAAAAATTTAGCTCTGGAATTTTATTAAAAAAATATTTAAAAAAAAAATTAACTGTAACCTATAATTTATGTTTCTCCCATCCTCTATCTTATCTTGACCCCCTCCCACTCCCTAACCCATTGGCTGGCGACGCCCTTGAGTACTAAGAAATTTATTATTTCTGCTTTTCAAAAATAAAATTTCAAAAAAAATCATTGCTTTTTTCCCAATTCTATTAATTTTCATATAATAGGTAATTGTTTACCTTTGGATTTTTAGTCACACACTATAAAAAGAAGGCTTTCTCGCGCTAGTCAAACGTTCTAGAATTAGGTCAAGTGATTCGAGTCGCACTGTTGCCAAGTTGTGATAAAATTCCCCAATATTGATGCATTCAAAAAACGATTAATATAATATAGTATATTATTATATTAGGATCAAAAAATGCTATTTTTTCTCCGACCGTAACCCCCCATTTAATTATTAATTTGTGCTTTGAAATTATTGAAACCAGATTGGATAATAAAGCAAATAGGTAAGTAGGATATATCGATGTAGTCATGGATACTTTGTCAAATATTAGTCACCATGTTGCTAATTGAGTTCATTTGTGATTGTTCGTGGTTCAATTTGCTGAAAACCTATGTAGAATGAGGGTAGTGGCAGTTTCAGTGTTTATTTAATTTTAATACTTTTCAAACTGCGTATTTAATATTAATGTCGATAAACAAACATTATTGTAAATATTGTCGAATAAACTTTTATAAATTAAAACTTGATTAACACTTTTAATCTAAGAATTAAAAGTGTCAACTTTAGCTCCTAGTGTTGAAAGGTACTCAAGTTACGTAATCAAAAACATTCCCATCCTTGGATACTAATGCCTACTTTTAATGTGTTTATATTTCTCAAGCCCAACGGCCCTTGCTCATAAATTAAAATGCTTATAAACATACGGAGGTATATTGTAACATTAAGCTTAAGAGAGAGTTAGTTTTTAATCTGATTTGATACAGAATAGATGTGCTATCTGAATAAGTGAATAAACAATATATTTTAATTATTAAAGTGTTTTAGTTCTACCCATAATCCCAACACCTAGGATTAAAAGTGAATAATTTTGTTGCTAATATACCATTTTTTTTTTCTCAGTAAGGAAAATGTCAACCTTAGAAACTTCTGACAGTCAAAAATTGTCATACTTTTGTGACGGTTGGAGAAAAATAACTTTTTTGTTTATTATCTATCTTATCTTAAAGCAATGGCAGTCAGATTTCTGACACACTGTAGAAATTCTTAATCTCTGAACGAATTTGTCACGAATACAGACGAATAGCAAGAATGAAATGCTTCTTATTCATACTAACAATCGCATTTCATTTAAGGTTGCACGAACTTGCCGTATACGATCTTCCGGCTAATATCGAATTTATCTCCAATATTACGGAACAGAGAGGAAAAATTATATACATAGGTCATTCCATGGGAACCACTACGTCATACATATATTCTACGGTGAAGAAGAACCACGCAGTGTCAAATTTGAAGGCCTTAATATCTCTGTCTCCAGTTGCTTTCCTGAAACATTTCGAGGGGTGGCACAAGTTGGCAGTTGCATTTGCGGATATTGTTATAGTGAGTATAAATTATAAAGATTATTTCGAAAAAGTCCATGAAAGCTTAAAAGTTCAAAACCTTTTGCCTTTGTAGAAAAGGTGTGAAATCAAACTGTTTAGTTCACGTAATTATGCAATGATTACTTTAAATAATTGTAACTGAATATTTACTTTGACAAAACTTACAAACTAGGCACTTCCACTGAAGACCTCATACGTATGTTTGATGTTTCAGCCAGTTTTACAAAAAATTGGAATACATTATGTAGGAGACATGCCTCCTTTGACCGTATTGATTCAGTCCCTTTGTGGAAAATATCCATCCATTCTTCTTTGTCAAGCCTTGATACTTCCCGTAGTCGGTATTGCCCAGGAGCAAGTCAAACCAGTGAGTAACATTCCCAGAAAACCTTTTTTAATAATCGTAGACCTTTGGCGAAGAGGTCGTTGACTTTTGACACAGGGAGTCGTTGACCTTTAGTCTCGGGGACATTGGCCTTTGGCAGGTAAGTCATTGACCTTTGGTTAAAGGGTTATTGACTTTTGGTACCAGGGGCTAAGGCGTTATACGTAGATCGTAGACATCTAAGACAATTGACTTTTGAACTTTGGACCTGGGTGATTTTTGTATTTAAATGTTTGAATGATTATCGTTTTTCAGGACCTACTTCCATTGTTTGCAAAGCACTATCCAACCGGGACTTCTTTGAAAGTATTGAGGCATTTCATACAGATCATATTGAGTGGAGGAAATTTTCAGTACTACGACTACAAATTTGACAATGTGGTTGTATATAACTCCATAAGACCTCCTATATACAACGTAACCGATATTTCCCTCCCCGTATATCTATTTGTTGGAAGCCAAGACGTTCTTGCATCCGACAGGGTAAGTTTTAAAGGTTCCCTATAAGCGCCAAGTTATGGGTAAACACTTTTTCAACTACATGTTTATTTATTTTTTGTTTGTTTTGTAAACAATTTTATCCTTTAGCTCAAAACTTTTCATTTCTTTCAGGACGTCGATATCCTGTATGCGAAATTAAATTCGCCAGGAAGTAAAACAAGAGCTTCCAAGTATATTTTCAATTTCGCACATAACGACTTTTTCATGGGAGCCGACGTGAACGATTTCTATAAAGTTTTGTCAGATGTAATAAAAACTAAGATCGGGAATATATAATGTTTACCAAGCCCTTTAGTTTTTTTTTGTCCATCCGAATGTCTATTGGTTTGCATTGCTGTTTGTCCTTTCTTTGATATGTTCTCTGTAATACACTTTCCCCTTTCTATGTATTTCGGCCATATTTTTTGTATTAAAAACAAAAGAAAAATGGATAGTCTCGCGATGGCAAGGAACCGAAAGATCGCTAAAAATAAACAAATCGTTAGTTCAGTGTAGCTGAATTATTCTCTCTTCCGCTATCTAGCAAATATGCTGAAAACTTATGATTTATTCATAAGTATACAAATGACTACTTTTTGCTTTTTCCTCTAGCGAATAATGATTGTAACTTGTGACCGCCGACACGCAGGGGTGAGTGTTATCCAAGGGAGCATGCAATTTAGCGCTGGAGTCTTTGTATTGAAACTCTGGGTGAGGTAAAAAATATTGTTTTATAAATTGCCGTCAAGGAAAATGGGGTGCTTTTTGTGCGGCGGACAGGGCATCCAGAAAATGGAACGTTTATTATGTGAGTTTAAAAATTTTCCGGGGTTGATATAGCTGCGCCAACAGGTGCTAAGTTCTTACAAAGAAAAATCGATTACCTCACAAAAAAAATATATTTCTAAACATAAAACCAACATATTTAATGTATTTTTTTACTCATGTGTTTATTTTATTTTATTTTTATTTTTATTTTATTTTATTTTATTTTATTGTCCATTATGTTTATTATGTATTATTATTTTTTTTATTGTCCATTATGTCCATATCGTCTTTTCAGGATTGGTTCCTATAAAAAAATTCAAAAAAAAAGTTATACGATATTAAGAAAGCAATACGTTAATGACCTTGGATTTGCCTTGAGCTTAAGTTTCAAGGTCAACGTTGAAATGCAAAAATTGCTTATTGTGGTTAATTGCGTGATGGTTTTTGTCAAAGCGTCACTAATTTAATGCTCTATTAATTGGCCTATTTGATTAAATGGTCAAAAATACCACCATTGACCTCTAAACACTTTCCCCTTCGTCTACGAAGCTTCTCTAGCTCTTTGTCACATCTGTGATGTGGAAACCGTTGACGATGTTCTTCAACAGCAGCATTAGCAGTCCCATTACAAAAACCATAAACAAACACATATTTGCGTACTTTAAATTTGAATAAGTTCTTGGCATTTTGTAACACTTTGATCGTACAAATGTGTAATCAAATGTTAAACTATTGCAACGTAAAATGACACTGACAAATATCCTACTTTTCAACATAGAACATGGCATATTACGATTTAAAATGTTTAAAATTTCTAATTACACTACAACTAGAAAACAAATGAAAATCGCATAACACATCATTTGAGTTTTTCTTATTATTTTGACGTGTAGAATATATTCTCATCCTTTATTTAAAGTAAAAAACAACTGTCACTGTCAAAATATCACGCATTTTTAGCATAAATCGTATTAATTAATTTTTGAATTGGTAGGTAGTTGCCGCTGTATTCATCAACTCGTTAATTAGAATGGGGCCATCCTAAGCTTAATCTGTCAGAGACATTGTACCGATATCTATACATCCAAATTTGATGGTATACACAGCGTAATTGGTGGCAGCAATATTGATTTGTGCCTTGTTATTAAACATATGTCGGCATTTCAAGGTATATATGCGTAGTGTGATAACTCTATTGGTCCGTGACCGAATATGAATATCATCAGATAGGCCAGGAAAAAAAGCTGGGAATTGACCATTTCGCGACTTTTTGTTTCGGCAAGCTGAATTTATCACTATAGATGCTAAATATTATGTACAATAAGATATTAGTTTCCACAGTCATAAAAATGGGGGGAAGATTGTTTACAGGGTGGTTAATTGTATAATTTTTACGTAAATTCACGTTTTTCGCTTATAACTTTTTTCCGTTCATTTCCACGAGAAAACAGTAAAGTACTTTTTTTTCGTCTTCAAAAGACCTACAAAACTAGCCCTCGAGCGTCAAAAAATATTGATTAGATCAAAAGTTATAAACAGAAGAAGTTTATTTATGACTTTTGAATTAAACATTTATAAACTGCGTTATTATTACCAGAACGTTTTGGCATCGCATCCTCTCATTCCTTATCACTGTCTAATAACTCTCACGAAATCCGGAATCGGTAAGTTGAATAGTTTACAAGTTATGGCCTTATAAACAAATTAACTAATTATTAGTCTGATCCCGATGATCTTCCACAATCGCACTGATTTTTTTCAAGGTAGATTTCATAATAATACGTTGAAATCTATTATTTTTTTTTAATTTCAAATTTGCAACCTCGATTTTTTTTTTATTTTTTAGCCTTAGTTGCAAAATGAAATATACGACGCAAGAGCATGATAGTTATATATTATTACATATTTGGAAAGCTTATGAAAAGAGCTTTAAGTTAAAAGAAAATCGTCAAGATTCGTTGAAAACAACGGAGTTACAGACCGTCAAAGTTGATAGCCGATTGTTAAACAAATTAGGTTGGTAGCGGCAAAAAAAAAATACCGGCAACCCGAGTACTTTCCCAGGTAAGAATATTTTCTTTGTGGAAGTATGTTAAGTGCATAAGAAATATTGTCAAAAGTCAGTGGGACGCTTGATTTTCGTCGAGCCGTGGCGCGGCGGAAGGGTGGGGGAAGCGAACGACAGCGAGTCCCAAGAAAATGACGATAATATTCATAGTCCTGCCGTTAAATAAGCGAAATTCCCTTGAAAATAATATATTTGACAGTTTGTAACTCCGTTGTTTTTCAACGAATTTTGATGATCTTTTTTTTTAACTTAAAGGTGCATAAGCTTTCCGAATATGTAATAATATATAACTATATCACGCTCATGCATCGTTTGCAACTAAGGCTAAAAAATAAAAAAAAATTTCCAGGTTGCAAATTTGAAATTTAAAAAAAATTATAGATTTCAATGTATTATTATGAAATCCACCATGAAAAAATCATTACGATTGTGGAAGATGCTGGGGATCGTCCAGACTAATAATTAGTTAATTTGTTTATAAGGCCATAACTTGTAAACTATTCAACTTACCGATTCCAGATTTCGTGTGAGTTATTAGACAAGTGATAAAGAATGAGATGATGCGATGCCAAAACGTTCTGGTAATAATAACGCAGTTTATAAATGTTTAATTCAAAAGTCATAAATAAACTTCTTTTGTTTATAACTTTTGATCTAATGAATATTTTTTGACGCTCGAGGGCTAGTTTTGTGGGTCTTTCGAAGACGAAAAAAAGTACTTAACTCTTTTCTCGTGGAAATGAACGGAAAAAAGTTACAAGCGAAAAACGTGAATTTACGTAAAAATTATACATTAGCCAGAATATAAACAATTTTTATGACTGTGGAAACTAATATGTTATTGTACATAATTATTTGGCATCTACAGAGATAAATTCAGCTTGCCGAAACAAAAAGTCGCGCCCAACTGTATATTTCCTGGACTAAGACGCAGTACAACAGTTAAGTTAATTCATTCTCTCAAAGGTTGGGTATAATCTTCCCCGTGGCTTAATAATAATTTATGTTCGCATTTATTGGATTTTTTTATTTAAATAATGATCAATTATAGAAAAAATAATTGCTATGTTTACTGTCGTGCACCGCTGATTATATTTTTTAGTTCGTTATTTAAAAAAATATGCAATTAATGAATTAATTAACACACATCCTTTATTTCACAACATTCTTGAAAAAAAAAGATCTAGGTATCAGAAATTGCACTACCACTTTAGTTATGGCTTTCCTTACATTTTGATTTCCATGATTCGTCTTCAAAATGTTTTTATTAATTTTGGTCTGAAATTTTCTTGTTGCTTACTACTATGCTTAATTATTCCGGGAAAATCACTGACATAAGGGAATATTCATTATGTTTAATTTTTTAAAGCATACGCCTTCACACCAAAAACGGTTTGAAAACTTTTCGACTTCTAGAATTGTTTACACAACAATCAACAGTTTTCTTCCTACCCCTTTTATCACTATTTCGGGGAAGTAATTAAATTCTATCCTACGATAAATTACTTATATTGCCTTACCGTGTTTCCTGTATGCGTGGGCCTAAGAGAAAATTTTCTGCTGTATCTGGGCCACACAGGGTTCTTATTAAATTAATTTGTGCTCTGTTCCTCTTCTGATCCGCCATTGTCTTCCAATAATGGTTAATTATCAGAAACTTTAACTTTTCACATGAACTTTAAAGGCGCTACCGGATGTACAACCCGGCTTGTCAGATTTGAACGTAAATATACAAGTTCTGGACAAAGGAATGCGCCCCACACAGAAGTAGCAGAAAAAGGTCTTTGAAACAAATTTTGAACTAACCCTCTTTCGCAATAATCTGAGTAGGGATAAGATTTATCCTGGATGGATTTGAAATTAAATAACAATGTTCTGTCACAGGAAGCAACTCAAATGTGTGTTCAATTTTGATTGTGATTATGCCTATGATATTTTTCCATAGTCACATTTCACTTAAATGGATATTATGATATTTGAGGGTAAATAAATAATGTTAATACATTTTATAGTAGGGACTCTAAAAGTTATTTAAATTAATCCTTAGTGGTCTTAACTAACAATTCTGTTGTGTTCTATATTGTATTTCCGATAATTAAAATTGTTGATGTTGTATTTATAAAGCGCGACGTTTTATTTTCATTCCGGATATGTACGCGCAATGAAAATTAATAATTCTGCAGTAATAAGCTTTTTGCTGATGTTGTTGATTTTCATTTGATGGAAATAGTGTGACCCGACTGAAACTCGGTCACGATTTATCAATAATCAAAACGAACCCATGATATTTTCTGTTTACCTTTTGAATACGTAAATAATAGATAGCTGTGGATAATAAACATTGAAACTTTCAATGAAAATATTACCAGAACTTTTTAATTCCCTGTTACCTAAGCACGACATATAATATTATCCATGTTCTTTTCACAGTAGATTTTGTTATTCGATTTTTTTTATTAATCAACATATTAA